GGAGGAAGAGGACAAAGAAAGAGGAAGATGAAGGCTCTGCAATAATGAGGCCAAGTAAGCAAACATGACCTCAGCCAAAATATGTCTGCCTCATCACTGCCTTATTAAAGCTTGCTTCAGGGAGAAAAATTTGAGGTCTGCAAACTGCAAACAGCGAGTAAGAACAGAAAGGAAGAGAAGAAAAAGAAATTCATGAGGAGGAGAGAAGGTGAGCGGATAGTAGAGCCACCAAATGTCCTCTGGCAGCCAAATTTCATCCTCGCCTCCTCTCCTCTGAAGGAGGACAGGCGTGGAAAATGTTGTTGAGGATTCTGGGAAGGTGGGTGGTCATATTTTCAGGTGCAATTGGAAACGTGTCAGAAACTGAGCTCAAGTGAACTTTATGTAAAAGTCTGGACAAATAGGACGCCAGGTGTTTGTTCCTAGACATCATGGTGTCTCTGATCATCTTCCTGTGATCACAACTCAGCTTTCTCTAAATGTATACCTGAAATATGAATCTGTTGAAGAATCATCACTCACATTACTGTACTGGACAAATATTTTCTTATTTGTGACAGTAAATTGCTGCTGGTGAATTTGGTGTCTTTATTGAGAACAGTTGTTTGTTTAGAGTTAAATTAAGTAGCATCACTATTTTTCAAAGCTCATGATTAAATCAAGAATAGTGAATAAAGACAGTTTGATTTAATGCACATATTTATCTTTGAAAAGAGAAAAGTACATTTCAGATCCAGACTGAACAACTCAATCGTACGTTTCTGCAAACCACAGATACATCACGTGTGTATGTTATTATGCAGCAGATACAGTACATTGAAACTTTTTGTGGTGAAGTTCAGGCACAAAAAACACTTGGTTATGGTTGGGAGAAGATAATGTGTTGGCTTAAAACACCCAGTTTTCATGGTACTATTCAGGCAGGAAATGCAGTGATGCCTCAATAAAAAAAAATCCTGTGCTTGTGGCACAATCCCGGCTGGAAATGCAGCGATGTCTCGGTGAACAAAATCATTTTTTGTGGTGCTATACTGGCAGAAAATGCAATGATATCTCTGAAAAAAAAATCCCATATTTGTTGCACAATCCTGCCTGGAAACACAGCAATGTCTCGGTAAACAACAATCGCATTTTGTGGCATAATCCTAACAGGAAATCAACGATGTCTCTGTAAAAAATTCCATTTTTGTGGGACAGTCCTGGTTGGAAACACACAAGGTCTCAGTAAACCTCAACCGTGTTTTGTGGCATGATCCCAGCAGGAAATGTCTCAGCAAAAAATACCCTGTTTTTGTGGCACAGTCTCGTCTGGACATGCAGTGATGTCTTGGTAAACAACAACCACTCTTTGTGTTATTTTTCAGAAATCAGCGATGTTTAGGTAAAAAACACCAGGTTTTTTTGTGGCACTATCCCCGGTGGAAACATAGCGAAGGGTTGCTAAGAACCACCCACGCTTACTGGTGAAAAAGCCACTAAAAATGGCGCTGTGACTCACGAAGAAAGAACCTGTGTTGTTGTTTTCAGGTCTTAAACAGTGGTCTGCAGCTTGGCAGACATCTCGCATCATCCACTGTCCTCTCTACCTTCAGATGACAAAGTCAGCTCATATATTACGTCACTTTAGAGTAGGGGTGACCCTGAATAGTCGATGATTCAGTGATTCGATTTGGAGGAGTCTGATTCGACTGCTAGTCTCGCCGTCGAATGGTCGCAAAATGTGGTTATGAAACAAGACCGTACCATTCTGACTATATGGGGGTGCTCACTGCTGCTGAACATCTTGATTTGACATAGAATGTGTTTGTTTTCTAGTAATTCATGATATATAGCCTATTTTGATACAAACATCAGCCTAATTTCTGTTAACAAAAAACTGAAAATGACGCGTGCGTTTAATCAGTAGGCATAATCATTACTACGCATGAGTAAATCGCCCAGTTGCTCGATCCAAATAAGCTGAGGTGAGTGAGTGCGCTGCAGGACCATCAGAGCAGCATCGAGGCCTACGGTGATTTGAAGTTAAAGTTCCACTGGTTGTCACACACCTGAATGTGTGAAATTTGTTCTCTGCATTTGACCCATCCCCTGAGGGAGCGGTGAGCAGCAGCGGTGCCGCGATCGGGAATCATGTGGTGATGATTTACGGTGGCGGGGCACATAAACACTTAGGAAGAAGTATGTGCTCTCAAATCAAACTTTTTTGAAGGATTATTCATTTGCCTGAAGTGTCTTGAAACAAATTTCACAGCTGATTGTTTTCTTGATAGACTCTGATTTTTTATTTGGCTACTTTTTGTCCGACGTGCCAAACAATTGAGAGCGGTAACGCACGGTCCGTGTGGATGAACTTGTATGAACCTGAGTTGATTAATGAAGTAACTTGAAGTCAGAAAGAAGGAAAACTGTTTCTAAACCTTTTGATGATGTTTTTGGATGTTTATTTGTGAATGAAATGGCACGTTCTGACGAGTCAGAAACGACTCCTGTTGAAGACATGCATGTGGCTGCAACGCGTCTGCGCTCATCTAGAGCATCATACCTGATGAAGTGAAAGGAATAAAGATAAAATGATAACCCTTTTACTTTTATTATTATTATCTTATTATGCCAACTGAAGAATTAAATCTGTTTATTTGGGTGTTTTAGCTCATTTCTCTGGAGCGGAAACTGACGCAAATGAGGTCATTAATCAATGAGGGGGAAACAACGTGATTCAACGATTAGTCGGCAAAAGGAAAAATCTGTCAAATCAGATTCGACTCTGAAAACTCTTAGTCGGGGACACCCCTACTTTAGAAACATTGAGGTGATACATCTGACGTGTACAAATGTAACACATCAGTGATTTGCAGAAATATACAAAACCAACATTTTCTCCTGGTGACTGGGCTGAATGGAATTAAAAAATCTTTGTTAAAACTGAAGCCGAGGTGTTGGAGCTGCAGCAGCTCTCAGTGTTTTGGTTCTGATGTCTGGAGAAAGCTTTTATTTATTGATGATTGACAGATCAATCTGCACCACCAGCAATTTTTTGAAGCCATTTAGACATAACTATCTCTCATGTTTCTTAAAATGTTTTAATCCATAGAGATGAGCATGTGTCAATACGCAGCCCAAGTTTTATTTCTTGTGCACCTAGTGAAACATAATCTCCCCATGCAACCCTGAAGACCCGTCTGTATATCTCCTACTGTCTACATGTTGTTAACGTTGAAACTATTGTCATTCATCACCCTCCTGGTTGTACTGTGTGGATATAGAGCTACAGAGGGCGGGCGGGGGGGATAAAATAAAATGGCAGCTGAATGTTAGTCAGCCGAGTAAAGACAGTTTGTCCAGCTGCTGTTCTTTCAGCTGCTGACAGGACAGCGATGTTCAGATCAGAGTTGATGTAGATTTAACGAGCTGATGCTTCAGTAGTGCTTATGCACCACTAACGCCTCACTTCTGGTGCGAGTTGTGGGTTAAGTGGTGTGCATGGATGATTGTATACAGGCATGGGTTTTGTGGTTGGACTGTGATGTGGAAAATGTCTCTTTGAACAAGTAGTTCATTGTGTTTTAATGGTTGATGGAATATTTTGTCTCTTTCACCAAACTTGTTTCTCAACTAGCTGAGCAGTCAGCGCCTTTGGAGCTGGAGCAGTTCTCACACAAAGATTAACTCAGTATGAACTTTAGACGAGAACATTATCTGAACATCAGAACCATGATGATAAATATAAAGACATACATATTTGATTTACATGATTTCCTCTGTTCTTATTCAGCTGTCGCTCAGAGGGATCTTTGTCTCTTCCAGTTGTGTGATTGAACCATTGTACAGCATTTTGTTCTCTGTTTACAAAACAGAGGACTTTCTACAAACTAAAAGCATCAAAACAATTTAAACCTCTAAAGTCGACCTCTCAGACATCTGACTGGACCCAGTCAAACTTTTTTGGTGACAGTTTCAAAATCCCAGTGTTGGTGCCACGATCACAACTGGGAAATTTAGCCAGTCGTTTGCTAAAAAACACCCAATGTTGGTGCCATGATTATGGCTGGAAATTCAGCTTAAGTTTTGGTAAAAATGGGGCCACAATCATAGCTGGAAATGTTGCTGATGTTTTGCTTAAAACACCCAATTTAATGCCACGATTTTCGCTGGAAATTCAGCTCATGTCTTGCTTAAAAAACACCCAGTTTTGTTGTTTGCTGGTTTCACACAGTGGTCTGGAGCTTGAAGATTCAGCTTATATATATATATGTATATATGTGTGTAATCAGAACATCATCACTTTAGAAATGTTGATATGCGTATTAACAGTACAAATGTAATGTAGCGGTGGTTTGCAGAAACATAGAATCCCATCATTTTCTGGGCCAGGTCCAAATCCATGTGAAACTCTGCAGGTCAAGTTAATCAGAAACACTTGTGAAGCATTTAATTAAATCACTGTCACAGAAGTCCTGATGTGCTGGCACATTCCCTGCATGTCCTGGGAATTTGTCATGCAAATAAAAACCTGTTAGAAACCCATTTAAGTAATGAGGTTTCTCCATCAGCAGTCTCACACTGTTAAGGAGGATATTTTTATTCATTTAATCTGTAGAATTAAAGCTGATGTCCTGCTCATACAAACATTTCTGGAATCAGGTTAGTGCTAAAACTGGAGCGATTATCAAAGTGCAGCTTTATCAGTGGACCTTCAGCGTCAGGCTATGTGACAGCGAGCTGCGTACGACTCTTTGAGCTTTGTCTGTAAATATCTGTTTAGCTGCTTATTACTTTAACTCTGCTCCTCTTCATCTGTCCTTACCTTCCCATTTCATTTCTTCCTCACCAATGTAGGTTAACAGTGAAGTTGGCAGCCGTGAAAGGATTTTGAACGTTTTCCACTGCTGTGTCCTCACAGATGACAGCTGTTATTACCCGGTGAACAATAACGCAACAGTCAGCGCTCCTGAACGCTGCTTAATATAGCCACTGTTTCACTGTCACTTCTACAGGAGGAGGAGGAGGAGGAGGAGGGGGACGAAGAGGAAGAGGAGGATATGAAGTGACAGGAGGCAGCTGGAAACATTACAGTAGAAGACAAAAGTAGAGAGAATGAAGGAGATGAGTGATGAGGTGAGTTTACACCCTGTTGGTGTAATTGGATTAAGATGAAATCGTTAATGTTAACAGAGGGATAATCCCTGAATGTGTCAACACACAGTGCTGCCTGCTGCACCAGGAATCTAATCTGGACCCTTCCCACAGTCACCCGACAGAAAATAAAATTATTAAAGAGATACGCCGATGTTTTCGAGGATGGTCCCAGTGTTCAATCTGGTCAGTCATTAAAGTTTCAAACGAAGGAGAAATAAGGTTTTGTGCTGTCCTACAGGATGAGTTTCACCTCATGTGGAACAAAATGTGCAGATAAAAATGGAGAAATGTGTCACTTTATCCAAATCAACTGAGGACCAGGAAACCATTGTGCAGTTGACCGTCATGTCTGAGCTGGACAGAAGAAGGTGAAAAAAGTATTCTAATCTTTTTCATAAGTAGAAGTTGCAATATCACGATTTAAAAATACTCTGTAACGAGTAAAACTCCTGGACAGCATTTAGAGTCTGAGTTAGACTCCCCGTGCACTCAGACATGTGTTTTTCTTCTGTTCATGTCCCCTAAAATGTTTGACCTCGACCACACTGACTCAAAGTTTGTCACCAGAGAGGCGTTTACATGCTCCTCTCCTGAAGAGGAAGTGTGATGTCTGTCTTCCCTAAAATCTGAGATTGGAACATTTGCTGGGCGGCTCGATCAGGTACGTCACTGATACTAAAATCAATCACTGTCTAATACAGGAAACACATCTCAACAGGGGAACAGACTTCATCAGCATGTTAGCATGCCAGTGTTAGCATTTAACTTCAGGCTCACAGATAGCCCTTTTCCGCCAACATGGAACCATTGTGCAGCGTTCTCCATTGATAACACGTGCTTGATTATAGTGGTTCCATGTAAAACTGGTGGAGATACAGGCTGGTTCACCACATAGCACCAAGGGTCCAAGAATCCTGAGTGGAACCAGAGCTGATCTGGCAGAAGTAAGAGAGGCTGTAGACTCTAAGTTTGTCTGCTGGTGTTTGAGCTCTGATTCTCTGCTGGAGCCTGATTGGGCTGTGATTTCTCATTATTCCCCCCAGGCTTGAATCAGGTTGGGTTCTCGCCAATTAAGTGGTGTTTTTTCTTCTACTTTTTTTTTTCTAAACACTGGCAGTTCTCGTGCTTAAACAGCAGGAGTTTAATGGACTGAATCAAGAGGGAAGGAGAGTGAAGGAGGGGTAAAAGAGACGGAACAACGGATCAATATAGTGGAGAACCAGGGAAGGGAGAGATGGCGTGCACAAAAGAGAGGAGGGCTGCAGGGTGATGTGTTTGGCAGTGTCTGCCTCTGCTCCCCCAGCGGTGGGAGACGTGTGTAACATGCAGCAAAGAGCGGTAATCGTCATGTGTCACGGACCGCCGTGCACACTACATGAACCGAGGGGTGCAGCCAGCTCTGTTGATTCTGTCGCACACGAGGTGACAGACTGTTGAAATAACAGAAGGAAGAGATGAAGGAGAAGAGGTGTGAGGAAACAAGTCAGAAGTTACATGAAAATTACATAAAAAATAACATATATAATGGCGGCATAGTGGTGCAGTGGTTAGCATTGTCGCTTCACAGCAAGAAACATGCTCTCCCTGTGTCAGCGTGGGTTTCCTCCGGGTGCTTTGACATGTTCTCCCTGTGTCAGTGTGGGTTTCCTCCGGGTGCTTTGACATGTTCTCCCTGTGTCAGCGTGGGTTTTCTCCAGGTGCTCTGACATGTTCTCCCCGTGTCAGCGTGGGTTTCCTCCAGGTGCTCCGACATGTTCTCCCTGTGTCAGCGTGGGTTTCCTCCAGGTGCTCTGACATGTTCTCCCTGTGTCAGCGTGGGTTTCCTCCAGGTGCTCTGACATGTTCTCCCTGTGTCAGCGTGGGTTTCCTCCAGGTGCTCTGACATGTTCTCCCTGTGTCAGCGTGGGTTTCCTCCAGGTGCTCTGACATGTTCTCCCTGTGTCAGCGTGGGTTTCCTCCAGGTGCTCTGACATGTTCTCCCTGTGTCAGCGTGGGTTTCCTCCAGGTGCTCTGACATGTTCTCCCTGTGTCAGCGTGGGTTTCCTCCAGGTGCTCTGACATGTTCTCCCTGTGTCAGCGTGGGTTTCCTCCAGGTGCTCTGACATGTTCTCCCTGTGTCAGCGTGGGTTTCCTCCAGGTGCTCTGACATGTTCTCCCTGTGTCAGCGTGGGTTTCCTCCAGGTGCTCTGACATGTTCTCCCTGTGTCAGCGTGGGTTTCCTCCAGGTGCTCTGACATGTTCTCCCTGTGTCAGCGTGGGTTTCCTCCAGGTGCTCTGACATGTTCTCCCTGTGTCAGCGTGGGTTTCCTCCAGGTGCTCTGACATGTTCTCCCTGTGTCAGCGTGGGTTTCCTCCAGGTGCTCTGACATGTTCTCCCTGTGTCAGCGTGGGTTTCCTCCAGGTGCTCTGACATGTTCTCCCTGTGTCAGCGTGGGTTTCCTCCAGGTGCTCTGACATGTTCTCCCTGTGTCAGCGTGGGTTTCCTCCAGGTGCTCTGACATGTTCTCCCTGTGTCAGCGTGGGTTTCCTCCAGGTGCTCTGACATGTTCTCCCTGTGTCAGCGTGGGTTTCCTCCAGGTGCTCCGACATGTTCTCCCCGTGTCAGTGTGGGTTTCCTCCAGGTGCTCCGACATGTTCTCCCCGTGTCAGCGTGGGGTTCCTCCAGGTGCTCTGACATGTTCTCCCTGTGTCAGCGTGGGTTTCCTCCAGGTGCTCTGACATGTTCTCCCTGTGTCAGCGTGGGTTTCCTCCAGGTGCTCTGACATGTTTGTTTGTTGTCTCCATGTGAATCATCAGGATTTTGTTTCTTTGCAGTGTTTTCATGTTGTAGCTGTAATGAAATCTGCAGCCTGTAGGGGGCACTGACAGTACTTTTGCTACATGTGCATGTGTGTGCCTGTAAGTTGCCGCTCCTGACAGGTGTGTATTTAGTGTGTGTGTGTGTGTGTGTGTGTGTGTGTGTGTCTGCAGGTGAACTGCTTAGAGGGATGCTGACACTGCTGTTCCAGCTAAGAGCACCACTTGGCTCGGAGGTACAGACACACACACACACACACACACACACACACACCATCTGGAAAAAGCTTTTTCATTTGAATGTGCTGTCATCTTAACCTCGTAACACACACACTGACTAATGTGCGTGTGTGTGTGTGTTGTATGTGTGTGAACAATTGTAAACAGCAGGGAGTGTTGAATGTGAAATGGCCTCTGGACAGGTGGGACTGTGCAGAAGTGCATCATGGGAGTTTGGGGAACAGTGACTGAGAGCAGCACAGAGAGGAATAAACAGAGAGCAGAGAGAACATGAGAATAAAAGAGGGAAGAAGAAGAAAGACCAGACTGCCACATACGGATACTCTGTAAATCGTCAACACTGTGCCCTTTTAGGGGGGATGGAGACCTGAGGATCTTAAATTCATCAGTACGATTTGATGTGTTTGGGTTTCAATTTTGACAGGTTCATTTTGTATGTAAAGTATTCACTGATCAGCCCCGACGTTAAAACCACTGACAGCCGAAGTGAATAACTTTGATATTGTTACAATGTTCTGCTGATAAATCTTTCAGTCCTGGTTTTCACATGAATGCTACGTGACACGCACCATTCACTGGTACTCTGTCTCATTAAAGCAGCACTTCCTGATGGCAGGGAACCATACTATCTGTCGTATCTGAATAGTCAGACCTAAAATGACAGTGTTTTACCTTGGTTTAGGTCGTATTTAACTGACGGACTGTTTTGTCACCCGGGGTGCTCAATGTGTCAGAGACTCATAGTATTAAATGTGGTGTTCCTCAAGGAAGCAGTCTTGGCCCAATTCTGTTTTCGTTATATATGCTTCCACTTGTAAACATTAGTAGCCATCACCGTGTTAATTACTATTTTTATGCAGATGACACACAGTTGTATGTCTCTGTCACACCAAATGCCCCTAATGCACTGCATGCTCTCGTTGACTGTCACGCTGACATTAACGGGTAAAAACGTTTTAGAGCTAAATGAAGAAAGAAAAAAAAAAAAGATTTTTTTTAACTGAACCAAAAGCAGCAAGAAAAACTGCACTTAATGTTTGGTGGCCTCAACAAGCACATTAAAACTAATATTACTAACTTGGGAGTGATTTTATACTTTGTTTCATTCTAACAGGGTCATCAAAACATCCTTTTGTCATCTTTGGAACATTGCTAAGGTCAGACATTTTTTAACCCAGAAAGATGCCTAAATACTCACTCTTGCTCTTATTACCAGCTGTTTAGACGACTGCAGTTCCCTTTTCACCAGACTACCCAAACAATCAATGAGAGCGGTGAGCTTTTTGTTTTTACGCCCCTAAACTTTGGAACTCACCACCTCTGGATATCAGAATGACGAGCTGTCTCTGTATTTTTAAACATGAATTAAAGACCTGTCTTTTTTATCTGGCTTTTAATGTGGAGTAACATTAGCTACAGTCGATCTTTATTCTATTTTATTTATTTATTTATTTACTTTCTTTTTCTCTCTATGGGCTTTTAACACTTTCCAGCCGCCACCAGCATTTTTGATCATATTCACTAATCTTTCAAGATCCACAAAATAATTTGTTCTATGAATATGTAAACAGTATATCTTACTATATAATGATGAAAACTCTGTGTGTGTGTGTGTGTGTTCCACGTTTTTCTCCTCACTGACTTGGTCAATCCATGTGAAATTTGGCACAGTGGTAGAGGGTCATGGGAGGATGCCAATGAAGCAATATTACATCAATTGGCCAAAGGGGGGCGCTATAGCAACCCATTGAAATGTCAAACTTTGAATGGGCATATCTCATGCCCCGTATGTGGTAGAGACATGAAACTTTGCACAGAGATGCCTCTCCTCATGAGGAACACATTTGCCTCAAGAACCCATAACTTCCGCTTATATAGATTTTCCTCCATTTTGAATTTTTTGAAAAACACTTCAAATGGATCTCTTCCTAGGAAGTTTGAGCGATCTGCATGAAACTGGGTGAACATAATCTAGGGACCAATATCTAAAGTTCCCTCTTGGCAAAAGTTGGAAAACTTACTAAAACTGAGCTTCTATAAGGCAATGAATATTGCGGAGGGCGTGGCTCATCACATAAAGGTGTATAACATCTCAAGGGTTTCACCCATCACCACGCAACTTTGTAGGCATATGACCACACATAATCTGAGGGGACCCCTCCATTATTGACCCCATCAAACAAAATGGGGGCGCTAGAGAGCTCATTTCTTATCTAGGCCTAACCGCCATGTGGATTTTTACTAAACTTGGTAGATTTTCTTTTTTCATCAACCCTTAATTTCATGCATTTTCATAAACAAAAACAAAGACAAAAAAAAACAACAAACAACATTTTGGACTGAGAAAGATGTATTTTTGTCAGACTCATTTTCAATATAAAATCAATTTCAATTTCACATTTACATTTTGTTTCTCATTTCATTACATCATTTTAAATTGCATAAATAGTAATAATAATAATAATAATAATGATATTCTCTTTGAGGTATAGCAGCGGAACATGTAGTCACGTTCAGTGTCTCCGTCTCCTCTGTGGTCGTCCTGTTCGTGTGTCACTGTCACCGTCATGGAGATCCTGTTTCGTCCCACCAAACTCGTTTGCTTCTTCGTCCAATTCAGATTCAGAATGTTGATCAAAACAGGATGTGACAGAGTCTGAGTCCATCAATGTTTCCACGGCTTCTGCAACCATGAACTCTCTGTCTGCGCCAGCATTTTCGTGCAGTTTACAAGCTGCTACATTTCTGTAAACAACATCTTCTTCTTTGTTTGTGTAACAGCGCCTCCTGTCTTTTAACAGTGAAAACACAGATTGCCAGAAAATCTCATCAATGGCAGGGAAAGAGTTAATCATCTTTTATTGTTATTTCTGGTTTGTTTGGTTTGCCTTTTTTAATATTTCATTGTCTTGTAATTTTCTAGTCTTGCAAAACTTCATGTTCAGTTGTTTGAGTTCTCCTTTAAATTGGATGGTTACTCTGAAAGACCCTGTAAGGAGTCAGATGTTCAGTTTCAATGGTGAATGCATTTTGTTTTAAAGGTTTAAAGCCTGTGTTTCGCCAGCCAAAATTAGCATTGTCATCGTTGTAGCTGTGAATGCACAGCGCTAACCAAGCTAGCAGCTAGCGTTAGGGTTAGCTCCACCGTGTCATCCAAATATGGTCACTTCTGGCCCCAAAGATCCAAGATGGCGATGGCCAAAATGCTGAACTAGAGGCTTCAAAAGTCCACAGACGTCTTTGTGGCTACGTTACTTTATAAAGTTCATGGTCTTGATGCTTTGTTGGAGAATTACTTGTTGCTGCTTTCAGTCCACCGACCGTTTATCTCCAACCAGAACAGACAAACTACACAAATTATCTATGCTAAGTAACTTTAGCTAAATCACTGTAAACCATGGCCCATCGTGGCTTATTGCTTAATTATCTCATGCAGTCATGTGTTTTCTAATTAATTTGATATTGTTAAATCAAATTGAATCTACTTCTGTTTAAGTGGTTATGTTGCATCTAATTTATTGATCGAACTAGCCTCATTTTATTTCATGTAATATAATCTGTCATTGTGTCGTCACATCTAATATAATCAAACCTTTTCTCATCTGATCTGATTTTTATTTAATCCAGAATCAAATGTAGTTTCCAGTCCTGTCATTTCACCTCACCATCTCATTTCCTCTAATCTCACCTCGTCTTGTCTCATCCAATATAATCTAGTGTTGTTTAATCTCATCTAATTGTCCTGCTTTGATGGCAGTGTGCATACAGAGGAGCAACACATGGAGAAAAAAGATCGCTAATGGGTTTTCTGATTACCTCCAGAGTTACCATGGCAACTAACGAAGAGCACAGGACTGTGACGATCAGTTTTACTCACGCTGAGCAGAACCGCTCACGTCTGATCATCCAGTTATGTGTAATCATTACTATCAACTTTAATTGCATTTCATTGACCTTTTCCCTCCTCCTCCTCCTCCTCCTCCTCCTCCTCCTCCATCTCTAGTTGGAGACAAAGAAAGGATTAAACCCTGAACACACACACACACACACACACACACACCTGTCAGTCCTGCTGCTTGGCTTATTAACCCTCGTTAGCCATTTCTCTCAGATATTAATGAGATGATCTTGTGACTAACACTCCCCGCTGAGTGCGCTCAGTTTGCGTCCATGCGCCTGTGCGAGGAAGAGGGGAGGTTAGAGATGAAGAGGGAGAACAGACGGAAAATCTTGGATGGAACGATCAGACAGAAAGAGGCTGAATATGAGCCAGAAACGACCACCTCAATGATTAATTTAATGTTGAGTGTTTAAAATCTGGATCACAAACCAAACTGTGAAAAAACATCCAGACTGTGTGTGTTTGATCTTCAGCAGCCCACCGAGTTATTATCACTGCACTCAGTCACTAAAACTACAATCACCGCCGCGTGGCTCTACACCTCCACAAACCAGTCAAGTGGCAATTACAAATTCCATCCGTGTCGGTCCAGGTTCATGTGGAGTCATGACAGAAGACGACACTTCAAACGTGGATGTTGCTGCAAACAAGCTGCAAATTCACACACAGAAGATCTATACAATCAGCACAGTTTCAAGATTAGAGTCACCAATTCAGTATCTGACCAAATGTCTCCCCTTCTGTTCCTGAGATATGACGTTAAAACATGATGATGTCACAGTCAAGCTGACCTTTGACCTTTTGACCTTCATTATTTTATCCTGTTTGACATTTGTGTCTAGTTTGGTCATAATTAGTGAATGAATTCTTCAGTTATGGACAAAAACATGTTTTGCCCATCAAATTCTAATCTGTTCATTGTTGAGTTTAGGTAGACGTTTGTGCCAAATTTCAAGAAATTCCTTCAAGGTATTTTTGAGATATTGTTTTCATGATAATGGATGGTAAATGGACCTGCTCTTGTATAGCACCTTTCTAATTATCTGACCACTCAAAGCACTTTTTGCACTACCAGTCACATTCACCCATTCACAC